AACAGGCAGCCCCGAGGCGGGGAGAGTGGGAACAGGCAGCCCCGAGGTGGTGGTGAGGACATGTTCAAGCGTTGTGAAGAGTGCGAGCCCAGCATGGCCTGTGATGTTGAACTATTAACCGTGTTTCTTTGTTTTGTTTTAACGCTTTAGTAAGAAGGACTGTAATGTTGTATTTCCTAGCTTACTTTCTTTATTTTCCTGCTTTGTACTAAGATTCTTTGCCTGTGTACATTTGTAGTTAAGATGGTGCCATAAGTGGCAGCTTGTAAACTTTACACTGTACTCATTCGACTGAGGGCATGTGACAATAAAAGCTAATTCTAATTTTAGACAAGTTATTTTACTTTTAATCAGGAGGAAGAGGTGATTTATTTATTGATTTTGGATAACATCTCTTGCTGAAAATCTAAATTTGAGGAATTTAAGATTGGCTGTGGATTTATGATTTTAGAAACTGGATGGAAGTTATGATCTTGAGCTGCCATCCATATTTAACATATTAATTTTGCTTTTTCATTTGCACTGCGGGTAGATAGAAGCTTTTAATCATCATTCTCATTTTTAACACATAGTCAGCAATGCAACTATTGGAAAAAAACTGTAAGGTCATAGTCATTGAGATCTGCAGTGCAGAAAAGGGCTGTATGGCTCATCTCTGTCAGTCAGAAACAGCCACCTAACTGTTCCAATCCCATTTCCCAGCACTTGGTCCATAGCTTTGTATGCATTTGCATTGCAAGCACACAGCTAAATACTTCAATGTTATGAGGGTTTCTGCCTCTACCAACTTTACAAGCAGTGAGTTCCAAATCCTCACCACCCTCTGGTAGAAAAAAGTTTCTCTCATCTCCACTAAACCTTCTGCCCTTAACTTAAATCGATGCCCACTGGCCATTGATCCCTCTATCGAGGGGAAACATTTCTTCCTGTCTAGGTCACTCATAATTTTATTTGCTCAATCATGTCCCCTCTCAATCTCTGTTCTAAGGAAAGCAACCCCAGTCTGTTCTGAAGAAAGGTAACTGGACCTGAAACGTTAACTCTGATTTCTGTCCACGGATGCTTCTGACCTGCAGGGTATTTCCAGCAATTTCTGTTTTTATTCCAGTCTGACCAATCACTCTTCATAACTAAAACTCTCCAGCTCAGACAGTATCCTAGTAAACCCCTGTACCCTCTCCAGTGCAATCACATCCCTCCTATAATGTGGATTCCAGAACTGCACACAGTACTCTGGCTGTGGCGTAGCCAGCCAGCATCACCTCCCTGCTCTTAAACTCTGTGCCTCAACTAATAAAGGCAAGTTTACCATCTGCCTGTAACCACTTTATCCAGCTGTCCTGGAATTTTAAGGGACTGGTGTACGTGCACACCCAGGTCCCTCTGATTCTTCGTGCTTTCTAGGGTCCTACTGTTCATCATGTATTCCCTTGCCTTGTTTATCATGCCCAAATGCATCACTGCACATTTATTCGAATTGAATTCCATTTAATTGCTACTAATCAATCCATTTGACTGATCCGTCTATATCCTCTTGTCATCCAAGGGTATTCTCCTCACTATTTACTATCCACCAACTTTTGTATCATCTGCAAACTTACTGATCAATCCTCCTACATTCAAGTCTAAATCATTTATATAAACCTCAGGCAGCAAGGGCCTCTTACACTGATCCCTGTGAGACCTGACTGGACACAGACTTCCAGTCAGGAAAACCTTCCCTCAATCATCAATCTCTGTCTGCTTCATGAATCTGATTGGCTACATTTCCTTGGAATCCATGAACTCTTACGTTCGCTATCATCAGTCTCCCATGCAGGACCTTATCATAAGCCTTGCTCAAGTCCAAGTAGACTACTTCAAAAGCATTACCCTCTTATACACAATAAAAACCGAAAGAACTGCAGATGCTATGAATCAGGAACAAAAACAGAAGTTGCTGGAAAAGCTCAGCAGGCCTGGCAGCATCTGTGAAGGAAAAAACAGAGTTAATGCTTCGGGTCCAGTGACCCTGATGGTTGGAGATTCCCTTACCTTAGCATTTGATTTCAACCAAGATCAGGATAAGGGCAAATCCATGCTAGATTTTCGTAAACAGCTTTACTTATGGTGTGAGTTTGCCTAACTGCAGGCAAGGAACTGTGTTTGAAGCAGGAAATGCCATATCTAGTCCAAAGGCCACCAATCCAAGGATTGCATGGACTTACAGACTGTCTGGAGATCAAAGGCAGGTCACAAAGCCTGCTGCTGGGGGCCAAATGAAGATGGCTTTCTGAAGCTGCCTCACTCATTCGCAAAATGATTGGGATGGGAATGAGGTGGGCAGATGCGGTTATGATCTTACCGCAGCTCTCCAACCAGCTCAGTCAGAGTTTAAAGAGGAAATTCCAAAAGGCACAACTGCGAATAGTGGGTGAAGAGATTAGGAAAAACATCAGGGCTAGAGCTGGAGGAACAGAGTTCTGGAGTTATTTTTATAGGAATGGAGGAACTTGTAGACGTAGAGATGAGAAAAGTCTTTGAAGAGCTGTAAAAACAAAGCTGATCTTTTTAAATTGATGGAACTTGTGGAGCAGGAGTCTGCAAGTAACTATTGTGCCTCACAAATACGAAGAAGTGACTGTCTTTATTTGTTAATGGGATGTGGGTGTCACTGACTGGCCCAGCATTTATTGCCAATGTCTAGTTGCCCCTTGAACTGAGTACAGCTCAGTGGCTGGTAATTCTGCAGTGAGTATCTCCCCTCTCTTCCAAAGCCTGCCCATGATAGAAAGCTTCACTTGTCTGGAAGTGTGCAGCTCCATAAAATGCTCAAGAAGCACAGTATTATCCAGAACAGAACAGCCTGCTTGATTGGCACCACATCCACCACTTTAGCAATTCATCCCTGAACCACACTAGGCTGTCATGTGTCATACTATCTGCAAGGTGCAGTGCAGCACAATACCAATTATTCATCACCAGCATTTTCCAAACTCATGATCTCTGCAGCGAAACAGCCCAAGGGCAGCAAAGCACATGGTACTGTCACCACTTGCAAGTTCACCTCTAGGTATTGGTTTAAGTTGAACCATAGTGGTGAAATGTACACTTTGCAGCAAGTGATTAGCATGTGGAATGTACTGCATGAGAGTGTGCTGGAGACCGATTCAATCATGGCTTTCAACAGGGAACCGGATAAGCAATTTTCAGAGCAATAGGAAAAGGGTAGAGCTGTGGGACTAGCTGTTTTCCTCTTCTCTCCACCCTACCCCCCCCATCCTCCCTCCCTTCGCAACATCAGCACCACCGAAGATTACAGAGGAAGTATATCTTCACTGCACAGACCACACAAGTTCAGAAGGACAGCTCACCACCCCTTCTCAATGGTAAATAAAAGATAGGCAGCTGGCCTTGCAGGTCATGGCACTACATGCCATAAACCAATAAATAAAAGTCAGATCAAGCCTTGTTCAGGATAGTAGCCTGCTCAGTCATCCTTTAAAATAGTTGAGTCTGAAAGTAAGTAAGTCAGGAATGTGTTTTTGAACAGCTGGGATGACTCAGACCCCATTGCGAATCCTTCAAGGGCTCCACAAGTAATGATACATGATCTGAAGAATAAACCATTGCTGGAAGATACTTTGACTACAATTGTAGCTGCTGGTGGAACTAAGCAACAGCATTCCCGTGGGTACAAATTTGGAAGCTAAGGTGTGTGAAGAAGAAGGTGATGTTAGTAATGGGACCCCAGAGAGGAACAAAGAACAATAGCATTTGACATTGTCCAGCCAGATCTGCTGATGGATGGCTAAACAGTTTGCACACCAGGTACATTCAAGCCCTGCAGCACTTGGATTCTGAAGAAGCAAAGATGGAGCCCATTCCAAGGGGATGGGCAAGGATTGAAGATAGTAAGTATTTCATTCTGACAAAGGCCATCATAGGAAGAGGTTCAGTAGATAGTGAGCGACACATATTATCAAGTAAATAGAAAGTTAAAGGCTAAGTAGTTGGCGGTCTGAAATGAGGTGGAGGGATGTGATTAGAGGTGTTTTTGTGTATGATTTGAAACTGTGTGGTTCATAGCAGTGCTCAAAACACATGGAGCAGTAGGAAAAGTCCCCACAAAACCCATGAAAATTCACTCGCTGGGATGACCAGTTGGAGAAAAGCTGTCGCCAGAAGTTGAATGGAAGGATATGGTGAAGAGAGGCTGGTCCTCTCTTCTGTTTGCTGCTGATAAACCCATTAATACACCTATCAACAGCAAACATGGGAAGAGCCAGCCTGTGATTATAGTAACAGTGAGCAGTTTGATAAGTGAGTCACTGGGCGACTTTCTCCTGTGGTCTGGGAGCCACCTGATTCAAACCTGTTAAAGTAAGATTCCTGCCCTAACTGGGAGCTGACCTGGAAAATTTGAAATCACTAAGTTAATGAATCACTTGCAAATTAATGTGAAATCTCCAGCTAAAGGCTGTATAGGTTTTGGAGCTGCTATGTGGTGAAAAATATAGTGGATACTATTGCTGCGAACACTCTGTCATTTGTTCATTTAAATCTGAGATTGACATTAAATAAAAGCTAGTAACTGCCTGGTTAAAATATACCTGCTTTATGCTTATGTATTGCATCCACTATGACCTCACTAATGGTGTGTTTAGCATGAGTTTTTTGTGTGTAAAGTGCATATCATTGTGTGTTTGTATGTACGTTGAAATAAAAACCTGTTGCTAACTTTTGCCACTTTGTACCAATTGTACTTTCAATGACACCTTGGCGAGGGTCCATCAGGCCACCCAACATGGACCGGCCTCCTTCGGTGGTCTCGGAGTACTTTATTCCTGCCTCAGTCACAGACATTCGTTTCATCTCGTCTGGATTGAGGATGCCAAACTGGACCCTTCTGATGGTGCGCAGTGGGCGTGCGCTGTCTCTGGAAGGAGGTCCTTGCATGGTTCAAACTCCCAGAAGCCAAGCGACGTCTCTTCAGTTAATGCTTTCCTTGTGTATTGTAGTTTTGATAACTTTTGAGGGATTGAATGTTTCTAATTCTGATTCTGTGAGTCTCCACATAACTCATAAATTGAACACAAATACTGAAGGCCTGTGACTGTAACACTTAAACCAAGAGGCCTTGGTCCAAATCTTACCTGCTCCAGACATGTGTAATAACATCTCTGAACAGGTCAATTACAAATCAAAAGTTACTGAGTCAATGTGAATGAGAAAGATCTCAGAGGATCCCGTGGGGTGGGGGTTTTGGAGAGGGATATTTTAATGCCCTGGTTAAATGAACACATAAGATAACAACTTTATGGGAGTGCCACGGAAATGATCACAGAAGAGACGTTGGATCTATAAAACAAAGCAGTGTATAAAGTACAAATGTAGCTGCTGACTTGTAAAATTGTTAGCAGTTATTGAGACACTTCTGTTCCCTCTCGAGAGCCATGTTTAGAGCTTTCTCTAGAAACAAATGAAGGCTCCTATTATCTGGGACTTCTGTAGGTCTTCAGATATCTTACACATTGGTATCTCGACCTGTGTAGAAAGTTGCTGTTTCTTGCAGAGATAACAAGAACTGCAGATGCTGGAGTTAGAGATAACATAGTGTGGAGCTGGAGGAACACAGCAGGCCAGGCAACATCAGAGGAGCAGGAAAGTTGATGTTTTGGGTCGAGACCCTTCTTCAGAAATGGGGGAGGGGGAAGGGAGCTGAGAAATAAATACAGAGAGGAGGGTTGGGGCTGGCGAAGGTAGGTGGGATGGTGATAGGTGAGTGCAGGTTGGGAGTGGTGGGGATTGGTCAGTGAGGTGAGAGGGGTGGATAGGTGGGACGTAACCTGTCCATCTTCTCTCCCACCTAATCTGTCCCTCCCACCTCACTGACCAATCCCCACCATTCCCTACTTGTACTCACCTATCACCATCCCACCTACCTTCCCCAGCCCCACCCCTCCTTTCTCTGTTTATTTCTCAGCTCCCTTCCCCCTCCCCCATTTCTGAAGAAAGGTCTCACCCAAAACGTCAACTTTCCTGCTCTTCTGATGGTGCCTGGCCTGCTGTGTTCATCCAGCTGCACACTGCTGTTTCTTGCAGGTTTTTAAGTTCAATCTCTAATGGACCAAAAAGGGAAAGCAGCTTGACTTGTTCATTATGCTTTCAGGTACCCACCCACATTGCATAGTAACAGATTCTAATCTGTCAGGTCCTGGGGAATATCTTGTACTGTAACAACACCTTGAGGTTGCAGATGGATAGTGTTGAGCATGATCTTGTGTTGTGTCAATGTCAATGTCAAAGACCTTCCACAAAGCATCGGTTCAGTTTTTGTCAGGCTAATGTTTGTGTTTGTTGCTTCTCAGTTCAGACTTAGTCACTTCCTGAGTGGATCAAATTCTTTCATCCTACAACAGGTGTAAGCTACAAACATCATAATATTAACAAATTCCCAACACTGGGCCGTCTGGCACTGTTTTAAAATTAGGGGATGCCCTTTCCGGACACAGATGAGACTTTTTTTCCTTTTACAAGATTGTGCAACTTTGGAGCTCTCTGCCTCAACAGAGGCAGGGTAGGCTCATTCAGAAAGTAAGGAGACATGGGATTCAGGGAAATTTGGCTGTCTGGATACAGAATTGGCTGTCCAGTAGAAGACAGAGGGTAGTAGTGGATGGAAAGTATTCAGCCTGGAGCTTGGTGACCAGTGGTGTTCTGTAGGGATCTGTTCCGGGACCCCTGCTCTTTGTGATCTTTATAAATGACGTGGATGAGGAAGTGAAAGGGTAGGTTAGTAAGTTTGCCGATGACACGAAGATTGGTGGAGTTGTGGATAGTGTGGAGGGCTGTTGTAGGTTGCAACGGGACATTGACAGGATACAGAGCTGGGCAAAGAAGTGGCAGATGGAATTCAACCCAGAAAAGTGTGAACTGATCCATTTTGGAAGGTCGAATTTGAATGCAGAATACAGGGTTAATGGCAGGATCTTGGCAGTGTGGAGGAACAGAGGGATCTTGGGGTCCACGTCCATAGATTCCTCAAAGTTGCTACCCAAGTTGATAGGGTTGTAAAGAAGGCGTGTGGTGTGTTGGCTTTCATTGGCAGGGGAATTGAGTTTAAGAGCCACAAGGTTATGCTGCAGCTCTATAAAACCCTGGTTAGACCCCACTTGGAATATTGTGTTCAGTTCTGGTCACCTCATTATAGGAAAGATGTGGAAGCTTTAGAGAGGGTGCAGAGGAGATTTACCAGGATGCTGCCTGGACTGGAGGGCCGGCCTTATGAGGAAAGGTTGAGGGAGCTAGGGCTTTTTTAATTGGAGCAAAGAAGGATGAGAGGTGACTTGATAGAGGTGTACAAGATAATGAGAGGCATAGATAGAGTGGATAGCTAGAGACTTTTTCCCAGGGCAGAAATGAGTATTATAAGGGGACATAATTATAAGGTGATTGCAGGAATGTATAGGGGAGATGTCAGAGGTAGGTTCTTCACACAGAGAGTGGTGGGCATGTGGAATGTGCTGCCAGCAGTGGTAGTGGAGTCAGATACATTCGGGTCATTTAAGCGACTCTTGGATAGGCACATGGAGGATAGTAAAATGTAGGGTATGCAGGATAGTTTGAGCTTAGAATACGATAATAGGTCGGCACAACATCGTGGGCAGAAGAGCCTCTACTGTGCTGTACTGTTCTATGTTCTATGAAGGTGGGGTCATTGAAATTTTTTTAAGACAGAGCTGGATAGATTCTGAGTTAACATCTGGAGTCTGATATGACTGTTTTTCAGAATCCTGAACTTTTGAAGTGTCATGTTGGACTCAAAATGTTATCTCTGTTTCTCTCTCCACAGATGCTGCCAGACCTGCCGTGCTTTTCCAGCAATTTTGTTTTTGTCCCTGATTTACAGCATCCACAGTTCTTTTGGTTTTTATTTTATTTTTTATGGTCCAACAGGTTTATTTGCGATCACGAGCTTTCAAAGTGCTGCTCCTTCGTCAGGTGAAGTGATCGTTTCACCTGATGAAGGAGCAGTGCTCCAAAAGCTTGCGATTTCACACAAACCTGTTGGACTATAACTTGGTGTCATGTGACTTCTGAATTTCTCCAATTTTGTATTGGAGATGTTTTTCAGACTGTCACTCTAAACCAACTGATACCAATTATCGAACACTTAAGAAAGCACCATCATGTAACCTCACTCCCTGAAGTCAATGACAAATTTGAGCTGAACAAAAATGTGTTTGCATGTAGCAGGAAAGAAAAAGATTTTTAAGGCCATATGGTAATACCATTAGTCAATCGAATGCAACCAAAATGACCATATGGTGAATAAATAAAGAAGGCAGTGCAAACAGACTGTAAGCATATGGTCCAGGCACCAGAGGGTAACCACATCTGGGCTGTGGTGAAAAGACCTGGTACACCCTTTGATGTTGGCACGTTGAGTGCATCAAAACTAACTTATGTAGTTGGATCAGCATGTCTGCATCACCATCTGCCAAAGGCTTTATTTTTTACAAAAAGGTTTTAGGAAATCTATTTCAGAATGAACTGAGCTTTGAAGTAGATGTGGAAGGGAAGGAAAAGGGGGCATTTGGATTAAAATTCACTTCCCTTTCAGAGCCCAGTTATGTTGTGAACTTACGTTGCTGTTCACTGATTACATTAATTCTCCCATTTCCTCCTTAATGATGGTTGGAAGTTTCCAGGGATTGGTTTGCTGCATATTTTTTTTTTTTTTTTGCTCCCCCACGCTTCCATACAAATAAGGATGATCTCTTCAGTGGCTGCAAGTGTCCTTGTTGAAAGCTAATTATTTGCATTTATCTAAAATGTGAAATAAAGTGCACTGCACTGGAAGGCAGCAAGAGATCACCAAGATATTATATACGTTTAATTCCAAACACCA